GGCTGACAGAAGTTTCCTTGGACAGACTTAGCAAGAGACCAGAATGCACGGGTTACCGAAGGCGAACTAGCCTCTCACCAACTCCGCCGATGTGCTCTGACCTTGCCTTGGCAATGAATTTTGAAGAACCTGAAGGTGGAATTATACTTCTTTTGAAGAGTGCTGGTGTTTACATCCCGAGACATCAACGTCTCGGGATGTAAAGGTGTCGTCAGCCCAGGCCTGGTAGCACTCCTGCTTATAGTGTGATGCTATTTTACACGATCGACCAAACCAAGGCTGAAATCTGCCTCCGATGGGCACCACATAAGATGGAATAAAAAGTTCCATATCCTTAAGCGACAGAATCAGCAACATTGCTGGGATTGTCCAGCGAGAAGCAAATCCACCCTCAACGGTAGAATGAAAAAAAGACCGCATCCTTTCCCAATCGGCCGACCTATAGTGCCAAACACGGCGGCAGCCTGCAGAATGCAACCGCGAAGATAGTGTGAGTGACACCACCCTCCAGACAAGACAATGGCCCTAGGAGCCATGAGGGGTGTCGACGGAAACTTGATATCCGTACTGATAAGAGGTCAGCAGTAGTTCCAACAGGGAAGGTGCATGATCCTCTACATCTGGAATCCGCGTAGGCAAAGTAACAGCTGGTTAAAAATTTGGTTACGACTTTGCCTTGGCATATGGTTGCACAGCTGTGCAACCATATGCCAAGGCAAAGTCGTAACCAAATTTCCCCACATGATCGGTTAAATGTGAACCGAGCCATTCAGCGTGATGGTCGTTAAAATCACCAAGGATCACGATCTCTGCGAATACCCTAAATTATACCAGAATATGCGGGGCAGCTTGAGCACACACGCTCAGGAATAGTAGAGTAGCTTGGACGTGGGTGGTCAGCGAAGTATTCCCCGTCACCAAGATGCTGGTACCCTCCTGGGGCCTCCGACCACCTACACTTACCAAGCGAAACGCAGAAGCAAACTTCTACTTCACGCTGGTATTCTATGAGGTCGTGGTACTATCTTGGTTCGATCTGGCCCATGCATGCGATAGCAAAAGCTGCCACTACCACTGTTAAAACGTAAACATGGAATAAATTCTATTTACTTTTTTTTATTTACTTTTTTCTGCCCATTGCTGCTGCCACAAATGCATTGTTTTTTTTTAACAGGAGACTTGTTTTCTAGAAATTTATTTACAACTTGAGTTTGTGAGCGATCGCAATGAGTGCTATTATTTGTTACTTATTAGACTATTTTCCACAACATGATTGAAAACCCACAAAGTAAAAAGAGAACCATGTACAAGTTAAAAAAAGGTTGTCAACCCCTAAAAATTTCAAATTTTCAAAATATCCAGAAACGAAGCCGCAGGCATGAACTACTTGCAAAATAATGCATATTTTTTTCTGGATAAAGTTTCCAAAAACGCAATTTGAGCGAGTTATAACGATTTTTAAAAAGACACGACTCGTGTGTCATACGCCACACACAAAAGTAATCGATGGCACGCCTGGCGTGCCATTCGCACTGAACCGGTTAAATAATGAGCTAAACTTAATACCCATGAAAGAAGTTTCAAGAAGATTGATGTTAAATTCTCCACATATGACAACAGACTTGTTCTTTTTACTATGAAATTATGATGAATTATATTTACATTATGAAACAGAATAAAAGTTTATCAAACGTTGATATCTATTTTATGAGAAAATGTGTATTATACTGCATATTATACATAACATATGACTTGCAACGAATAGTATATTCTCGGTCTCACGCCGAATATAAAATATTTTGTAGACCTCCTGACCGAATAGCCGAATATTAGGCAAAAGTATCTAGCACGAAAGGAAGTCGTGTTTATCGTTATTCTCTGAAACTGGGATTGTGTACGAGAAGAAAAAGAGTAAACTTCTGCCTGAAAATGAAGAGAAATTAGTCTTTCTGCACTATTATCTTCCACTTTAATTAAGATAATTCGAGTGCATAGACATTTATGTCATATTTATTCAGAAAATTTACGAGACGTTTGTTTATTAGTTTTTCAAAAATTTTGGAAAGGGCACTAAGTACTGAAATAGGCCTGTAATTATTTATGTCGTCTCTATCCCCACTATTATAGATGGGATGGATTATGGCACATTTGAACTTACTAACTTCAAGACACATCTTGTCTTGAAGTTAGTAAGTTCTTGAAAAATTTCTTTTACTTTATGTTCCAGGGAATTGTTAACACAAACAACAACACCGTCACTTTTCGTAACTTTGAATGTGGTGCGATAGACTACCTCTTCTAACATGTATCGGTATATTGGGATGGAACCTACATTCGGTAACTACAATAATGTCAATTTTTTGCGAAAGTAGAGTTAGGTTGACCTATTGAACCATGTCATTTTGGAGATTGAAAGACAAGACACCCTAGTGATTCGATGCTTCTTTTTGAACTTTCGTAAGGCAGTGTGCCAATTTTAGCTAGCTCATTGCCATTGGATAAAGAAAAGTTCATGCATTGTTTACCATCACTTGTGTATGTAGCAACAAGCGATTGCGACACTCTAGGTGTAAGTGGAGAATAGGGAGGCGGCTCTATACTTTTTGTAGCATTTTTAGCACTCAATAGCATTTTCATTTGTAGTTTTACATTCCCATTGCCGTGCATGTAACATAGGAGGTTTAGACGTTAAGTGGGAACATGATGGAGGGCTAATGCTTTTTCCGCCTGATTCTTTTTCATTGTTAATTTTAGAAGCTAGAAATAAGCACCCTTTCCCAGACAAAAGCTTCATCAGCAATATGCAAAGCTGCAGAAGAAATCAAACTGTCATCTCCTGACATATTATATAACTAGCTGATACCCGCGTATTCGTCCGTGTTGCTTACACGTATCACGGAACACGTAGTGCTTAAAAAACTTTAATAACTTTATATTAAATGAAGATATCGCAATATTCCTTTTTTTTTTTTGGTAAGGGCCAAGTACCATAAATGAAACTTAGAAAACTTAATTGAAATCTATCCAGTAGTTTTTCCGTGATGCGTGCTCATCTGCAAACCTCTATAATTTTATTCATATAGATAAAATAATTAAATTGCAACCTAATTGTAACCTATAGTTTACACCTTCGTAAATTAAGATGCATAGATTTTTTAATTACAAGGATGTGCAGTTCAAATTTCAAAAAATTTGCATTCTCTATCTCAATTTATTAATCATCATTATTATTATTAATCAAAATATTAGTATCAAAGTATTAATTTCGAATTTTAGCGTATAAAACAAATTATTAGTGTTTAGATACCAAGTTATCTAAGTTAAGAAGTAGTTAAGAAATATCTTATATTATATATAATAGATTTCTTAACACATTATTTAAGATCCTGGTGACAATTAATTGATAGCTCCATGGCGCTGTGACTTAGCAATGAGTTGCAGCGCTGAGGGCCGCGGGTTCGATTCCCGTACGGAACAAGTATCTGTATGGCCTAATAATTATTGTTCTGGGTCTGGATGTTTGTATTTGTGAAATCTATGTATATAAACTGCCCCGCGATACAGGAGAAAATCCTAGTGTGAAGGTAAATTGTGATTTGTTTTTATTAAGATTTTTAAACTTTACATTTACTCTAAATATTGTTTCACAAAATAAACACATCTATCACGTCTTTTGATGGGTAAATGTAACCTCTTTTATCTTTATAAAGATATAAATAAATATATTAACGATTTTACATCATTATGCTGAGAATGCGAAACTGCGATACAATCTCTACACTTAAGTTTGTTCTACAAAACTTCCTCTTTATCCACCTTTAATATATTTTTTTTATAATTTTTTTTCTTATGTGCTTGGAAAGAAAATCATTTAATGCTAATATACTTGGGAGTGGTAGAGAATTTGTATTATATAAAATATAATCTATACAAATAAATAAAATTGAAGTTTCTGTTTGTAATGTCAAAATAACAGCTTTTTACTAAATGTATATGAAAGTATATACGGTACTTAATATCCAAAACACAATTTTTTAAATTTTTTTGTCTGTCTGTCTGTCTGTTTGTTCCGACTAATCTCCGAAACAGCTGGACCGATTTCGATTGAACTTTCACTGGCAGATAGCTGATATTATAAGGAGTAACTTAGCCTACTTATATTTTAGAAAAAGAATTAGAGTTCCGCGCAACATAATTAAAACCCTAAATTACAAGCGGGCGAATTCGCGGGGTACAGCTAGTATATAATATGTTGAATTATTTTCGATCCTATACTTTCTTTTGAACATGTCCATTTTTAACTTTTTTCTTTGACTATTATTCTTCTCTTTAATTTAGATATTGTTTTTAATCTTTCCCTCTTTCTTGGTGTCACTTCAACACCACTGACTGATGTAGTATAAGCAGATAAGCTAGGTTCAATATCTCTATACTGATATGTAGATGATCAACGTGGAAGATGAAGATCAACCTGGAATTCGAACAAATTAAATAGACAAGGCAGACTGATTTCACAGAACTTATGTAATACAAGGGCAATCTAACATTTAATCTAGTTTAACAAATATATTTAGAAGAATAATTCAAAAAAAAAAAAAGATTTTAGTAACTAAATAGGACCAACCAACTTTGGTTCTTGTTTGCATAATGAAAATAGTTAAGTATTAAAGGTATCAAGTGGCATGGGTCTTTTTAGCGTTTAAATTCGATACTTAATAGTGAATAATGCAGCATAGTTGTTTTATCTTATTTTTAATGTTGGCCAAAGTGGGTTGGTTCCACAAGTGATAGTGTTGTATCTTTGTTTTTAATCGTCGGAGAGCTACAAGTTTTTTTGGGAAAATAGAAAGCGTCATTTGAGCGCCATCTATGTACCAAATTCAATTTCACTCAAACTGTGGGTTGTTTCCTCAATTATCCTTGATTAAAAATTTAAAGAAGGTGCGATGCTCCCGCCTCCGGTTTAAACGACTACTTACTTAACAATTTGTTTGTTTCAGCCAGAGAATATTTAGAAAGAAGAATAATTTTCAATAAAGGTTCAGTGGAGCGCGCAAAGTCAAAAATAGACAAAAATTGCACTCTTAGGACGTTGATGCCGCAGTTTTATAAATTTATCGATTTTAAGACTGAATTATTATATTCGGACTATACGTAAGTATTGCTTGTTACTATTTTTTATAATTCCCTTTTTGGCCGACTTCTCTAAAAGTTTCGGCGAGTTCGGGAGTTCCATCACCTGTTTTTTTTTAAAAAGAGACGATAAACGAGAATGCTGTTTACCTGGTGATAATAGTCGTCCGCCGCTATGATCAACAGTAGCAGGGGAATTGCAGGTACGTTGCCGGCTAATCTTAATCACCGGGTGTCGAGACAGTCGACAAAAATGAAATATGTCCGAATGATATCAGTTATTTTCCATTACATGATTATAAGCCATGCTGCAGCTATATTAGTTGTATAGTTGTAGCACGAATGGGTCGGCTCGACCGGGGAAGGACCACGCTCTCACAGAACACCAGCGTAAAATAGCAGCTTAACACTGCTGTGTTTCATATGGTGAGTGTAGAGAACCGGAGACCCTTTTTACTGGAAAAGAGGCATTCCATCTTCGTCCTCACGGGTAACAACGCATCTGGATTTTGATTCTTTATTGAGGATAGATGTAGATGTCTATGGGTCACAGCAACCACTTACCATCAATCAGATGGACTGTGTGCTCGTTTGTCACCCTATGCCATAAAAGACACGAATATTATGAACATCTCGTACAAATTAATGTGAGATGTTAACAAGTGGTAAAATTAAAAAATATGTACCTACAACCGACTTCAATATAAATTATTAAGGATAACTCAAAAACTACTGGTGAGACCTTGATCAGATTTATATGAAATCACATGAGAAGCACCAGCTTTCAAATAAAAAAAGAATCATCAAAATCGGTTCATCTAGAACAAAGTTGTGAGGCAACACACATAAAAAAATATACAGTCGAATTGAGTACCTCCTCCTATTTGTAGTCGGTTAATAGTATCCACACCGAGAACAGGACACAGTTTCTGAAGATCGACGCGTCGAGTACTGCATAGCATTTTTTTGCTAAGAATGGCAATTTATTTTTAGATAAGTATATTATGACAATATTTTCGTTGAACTATTTATTGATGAGGAAGAAGCGTGTCTGCAAATGCGAAAGCTTACTAATATAGTTTAAATGCATTTTCAGATGGGATTGCTTATTACCTAAGATGACTGACGACTATTACAGAATTTACTCATTAAAGATTGTTGGAAAACGTTTTGATCGCGATAATATGATGAATTACTACCGATGGACAGTTGCGGTAAGAAGTTTAGCCTCTTCATTTCAAACCTTAGTTTGAGTTTCATAATGCTTGTAATCGCCTAGTGTAATTGAGTGATTATAAAAAAACTATACCACCTCTATTTTTTTAAGCGGTTCTCTTCAAATCGTTCAAATCTCTTCGACTTTGGGATTTTTCAAACATTTAAAAATTCATAAGTCCGAAAATATTAACTTTATCGTAAAACGTCATAGAAACTTTTTTAATAGTATTTTATTAGAGAATATAAAAATGTCTCGTTTTTAAATAATAAGTCCTAGCAATTCGAAAATAAAATCGGTTTAAACAATATGACACCGAGTTGCCCCATGGTAACGTGCATTTATATCACACTCCTGGACTACACAGCTTATTCAGGCTATCTGTAATTATTTGTTGACAACATTTTAAAATTCTTTGAAGAAAATCACTACAATGTTTTTTTAAACTGGCTTTACGGCTCTGGGTTCTAGCCCTTCTGAGCCTAAATGGTTTCACTACAATGTGTGACTGTTTGACCACAGTTTATTGGGTGTTTGACATTGGCCTTAGAGTAATAAGTAACTAATAACATACATATTCTTAACTCTGAGGCATTGGCAGTAGGAACTTAGGTAACGTATGTATTATTTTATTTAATGCAATGTATTTATAAAACATATAACATACTAGCTCATACCCGCTTGCTTCGCTGGGCGCACAATAATAGACGATAATAACGTCGATATAAAATATCAAGAATTTTTTTTTGTGACTATTGTAAAATCCATTCTTAGTGAGCGTCTATATTGCAAAATGAGTAACTATACTCAATTTCAAGCCAATTGGGTGTATAGTTTTAGAGATATCGCGATAAATTTTAGCATTCAGCTCTTCTTCTCCATATCAAATTTAACAAAGCCAAATCTCTATTCTGTTGTACATGCAATATGCTTGAAAAGGTTACAAAGTTTCCCATTTACGTCTTAATATATTGGGTGACTGCTAATAAAGAAACGGACCTTGAAATTGACTTATAATAAACCCGGTGTGAAGGTTATATATAGCCAGTTTTAATAAGCGCTTGTAACATTTTCCAAAGACGCTACTTCAATTTAGCTATATACATTTTCCAAAGTGCAATCTACATCAAGTTTTTATAGATTTTTTTACTATAAAACTGAAGCGATAAACGAACTTACTGTCCACTCGATGGTAAGTGGCTACTGTAGTCCATGGACACCTGCACCTTACTTCAAACAAAATAGACTACAGATGGGTTGTCACCTCTGTGAACTAAGATGGAATGCCTCACAGCCTGTAGTTATACTGGCCTTATATAACCTACATGTAGAATAAAACACTCTCGATTGTTGCACGTCTATTCACTAGCCTTGCCTAACCGTCTACCTAACTTTGACATATCCCTCTTAAAAGTAAATCCACCTACCCTACAAACTATACAATATATTACACCTTCCCCCTTAGTTTAATAAAATAAAAAGTTTTCTTATAATATAACATTACAATATACATTAAGTAACAAAGAAGTACAATGTATAACTTAACATAAAAACAATAATAACAGGGTACACTTAATAATTAACTTATAGTGATTAATCAAATTCTGGAAACCGTATTGGTGGTTTCCTATTTCTTAGGGGATAGCGGCGTGTCAGTCCGGGTGTACAACTTTGTGGTTGCATGGTGTTATTAATATCTGGCGTTGTCGTACCCAGCTGGACTCCTGCACCCTCTTCCATCGAGCCTGTCGACTGCTCCGAGACCTCGCCTGGTTTATTGCTCTGTCTGGACATTGCATCTAGAAATGGGTTAAATGAACTGCGCCTGCATTTCTCACTATGTATGGGCGTGTCATTCAAAGCAACATTAAACACATGTCTTAATTGGTCTGCGTGTCTATGGTGTACGATTCCGTCGATACCTAAAATTTCATAATCCGTATTTCCTAACTTACATTGAATTTTACCCTCTAACCATTTCCTTCCTGTGCCATAGTTACGGTACTAAATTGTGTCCCCTTCCCTAAAATTCCGATGCAAACCGCCTGATGCTAACTGCTGACGTTTCTGTGAGGTGTGAACGCGATCTGCTCGTTCGGGTTTTAAGCAGTCAAGTCGGATACCTAACGCGCGGCCTTTTAATAATTTTGCTGGACTCTCTCCCGTGGTACAGTGTTCAGTATTTCTATATACCAAAAGAAATCTTAGGAGGGCAACGTCCACGTCCAAGTTCTGTGATATAGCCTTTTTAATTACGTTTTTGCAGGTTTTAACTGAATTTTCAGCTGCTCCGTTGGATGAAGGATGATACGGGGCTGAATACGTGTGTTCTATCCCGTTAGTCACTAAAAATTGTTTAAATTCTGAACTCATGAAGGGTGGGCCATTATCTGAAACTAATTGTTTTGGTAAACTAAACCGAGATCATAATTCTCTTAATGCCTTAATCACCGATTTGGAATTGGTGGAATTCATTTTAATTACTTCTAACCATTTAGAGCAAGCGTCTATGACCACCATGTAAAGTTCCCTGCGATTGGGCCGAAAAAGTCTATATGTAAGCGAGACCAAGACCGATCCGGCCAAGACCACGGGTGGATGGCGTGGGCCGGCGGTAAATCCGCCGTCTCTGCACACACTCGACATGACCGACATAACTTTTCTATTTCTTCGTCTATACCCGGCCACCATGCATAGCTACGTGCTAAGCTTTTAGTTTTAACCATACCCATGTGAGAGTCGTGTAACTCTTTTAAAACTTTTGCCCTACAGGTGCTAGGAATTACCACCCGGTGACCCCACATTATACAACCTAGTTCCGAAAAAAGTTCGTTTTTTCTATATAAATATGGTTTTAATACTTTAATATCAACTTCAGATGGCCAGCCATCTCTTATGTATGACTCTGCTTAAAATAGGATCGTGTACGGTTTCCTTTTTAAGTGAATTATAATCTAAAAGCAATGCTTCAGATGCAAAATGCAAATATGTTTGTTCCGGCACATCACATTGTTCAGAAAAACCAGTTTCTTTATAAGTTTTTATCATACGAGATAACGCGTCGGCTGTATTGTGATCCGTACTTATAAATTCAATTGTAAAATTGTATGACGACACTATTAATGCCCATCGCTGCAATCTACTAGCAGTCATTTTAGGAACACTATGATCCGGGTCGAAAATGCTTACTAAGGGCTTATGATCAGTCCGCAGTATAAACGGGCGGCCATACAGATATTGGTGAAACTTTTTGATTGCAAATACAATTGCTAATGCCTCTTTTTCTATTTGACTATAGTTTATTTCGGCGGATGTGAGTGCTCGTGAAGCATACGCAACAGGGCGCTCACGCTCGCCCCGCCTCTGCGCCAGCACCGCGACTACTCCGTGCGCACTGGCATCGCACGTCACCACGATCGGAACCTGCGGGTCGTAGTGATCTAACACTTCAGCGTTACTCAACATGTTTTTTACATTTTGAAAAGCTTGCTTCTGATCTTTTCCCCAAAATCAGTGGCTACCTTTTTTTAAAAGAGTGTATAACGGATTTAAATAAAAGCTCAAATTTTTCACAAATCTACAATAAAAATTAACCATTCCTAAAAATTACCATAATTCGCATACGTCGGTTGATTCTCGCATGTATAAAATTGGTTTTGTCTTTTCTAAATCCACCTTTATACCATCTTTATTAACAATATAACCAAGATATTTTATCTCGTTCGCAAAAAATACACACTTTTCTTTTCTAATTTTTAATCCGTATTCGTTCAACCTTGAAAGTACATTTTGCAATGTCTCATGATGTTCTTTTTCAGATACACTAAAAATTAAAATATCATCTAAGAAGACTACCGTATTACGTATATCTTTAAGAAGGTTTATCATAATTCTCTGAAAAATACCAGGGCTCGAAGCCAATCCATAAACAAGACGATTATACATATAAAGACCCCTTTGTGTATTTATTACCGTATATTTTTTGATTCATCTAACTCTACTTGGTTATAGGCCTGAGATAAGTTTAACTTACTGAACCAAGTAAAACCGCTAAGATTCGCTAATAAGTCTTCGATCTTAGGAACCGGGAATTTATCCATCGATAAGACACGATTCAATGTTACCTTGTAATCCGCACAAATGCGAAGCGATCCATCAGGTTTGTTAACTAAGACCAGTGGAGAGGCCCAGTCGGAGGAGTCAACCGGCTCGATGACACCAGCCCGCAGCATGGCGTCCAGCTCGGCATCGACCCACTCGCGCATCGCGTACGGCACCGGCCGCGCGCGGCAGAATACCGGCACGGCGCCTGTCCGCACGCGAAGCGTTGCTCGCCCGCCGGTAAATCGCCCAAGACCACCATCAAAAAATTGTTTAAATCTGTCGAGTAACATATTCAAATTTTTAAATTTATCAAAATACTGTATACAATTTATTCGGTTTTTGTGAAATTTCGGAATATCTATTTCTAATTCCGCTAACCATTGTCTTCCTAGCAACACAGTTGTCCCTCTTTCTATTACATACAAATCAAGTGTTTTACATTTGCCGTTATATTGCACCTTAACTTCTATGAACCCTGCCGGCTGGACTTTACTGCCATTATAAAACGAGAGTGTTAACTTACATGGTAGTAATGTCAAATGCTTAAATTCTTCTTTATATAAATTATAACAAATGCACGACAAAGCCGAGCCAGTATCAATTTTCATAATTAAAACTTGTAGATCAACAATAATAGGAATGCTAACTGGTTTGTAGTCCCTCAAAGACATTTGGAACATAGGATGATCGATTTCTTCACCCTCATGAGCTGCCGGGGAGATCTGCTCGTCCTCCTCCATGTGCAGGATACGCGCGCTGCGCTCGCCGGTGCGCGCGCGCCGCTCGCCACGCTCCGCACTCCGCCCGGACGCCAAGCGGCGGGTGCTACCCGTACCCGTATCCGCACTCCACTCACGCCTTCCTTTATTTCTGTTTAGACAGTACCCAGCTTTAGTAGACAAACTCGTTTTAAATGTCCAATTTGTCCACAATTATCGCAGGTAAAATTACGATACCGGCATTGGCGCCAACTATGACGCCAATCGCCACATGCTGTGTAGTTGCCCATTTGCACCACATTCACTTCACTGATATGACGGTTAACATCTATTGAGCCAACACTTTGCCGCTCCCGTTTTAGTGAATCTGCTTCATAGCCTACCTCGCTCATGCTGCAAGCGCCCATGCCGTATACCGCCGATGATTCACGCTGCGCCGCCTCCATTGTTGTAGCCAATTTCACGGCGCATGCCCAACTCAAACAATCTTCAGCAAATAATCTTTGACGCATTGAATCACTGCGCAGATCATATACAAATTGATCCCTCATATTTTCATCCAGACAGTTTTTGAAGTCACATGATTTTGCCAACCGTTTAAGTTCCGTTACAAATTGTGATACGGTTTCATTTTCCTTCTGCCTACATTGGCGAAATTTGTACCGTTCCGCTAATACCGATGGCTTAGGCTGCAAATAATCACTCATTATTCTTACTACATCTTCATGCACTCGGGCTGCACAAGTTAGTCATTAGTTCAATTATCGCCAATAATAGATATTAACGTGGGTAACTTCAATTCTTCCTTAACACCGTTAACCAAAAAGTACATATCCAATCGTTCACAATATGATTTCCAATTTCCCTGAGACACATCGAAGTCTCCGAGCCTGCCGATATTTGCCATTGTTTTACACCTTTTTTTTCAGTTTATACACTTATTATAACTAATTTTCCTCGTCGCCACTGTAGAATAAAACACTCTCGATTGTTCCACGTCTATTCACAAGCCTTGCCTAACCGTCTACCCAACTTTGACATATCCGTCTTATAAGTAAATCCACCTACCCTACAAACTATACAATATATTACACTACACACCGGAAAACAGTAATGCAAGCACTACGTTTGGAGGAAGAAATAGGAAAGAGGAACAGACGAACTCTTTGGCAGAAAATTTTCTATAAATAACTAAAAAAAATAAAAAAAATCATTTATTCCTAAAAAAATAGAGTTACAGAGCTAAACACAAAAAACAGTAACTTATATTAAATTATTTTTAATTCTTATTACATATAAAAAATTGCCTGTAACCTCAGAACTGCTCTCTGGGCCCTCTCCAACTGAATTATGGTAGTTTTGGAGGCGCCATCCCAAGCATATGTATATCAACAGTATTGTATTATTGATTGACAGAGTGCAAAATAAACTGTACGCAGTGTACTTTTATCAGCACAGTTTCGAAGCAGCTTCATGATATAAAGTTTGTACCATTTATTTAACGTAATCGATTTCTAGAAACCCGAAGAATATTATCTCCTGACTCGGTTGGAAAAAATCGAATAATTTTTTAAAATACTTTTTATAAGCCAGTGCATGACTACAATGCCACCTGGTGATGAGTGGTGGTGTAGCCCTAGGTGGTAAATTGCACTATCTTAGCGTAACAAAAGCCTATTCACTCTTGCCTTGAAGACGCCCAGATTGTGTTCGGATGGAAAGACAGACGCCGACAAATTATTCCACTCCTTTGCTGTACGCATTACAAAAAACAGTGCAAACCGTTTGTATCTCACGCGTGGAATATCGACAACAAAGGACACCCGCCGACTGCCTTTATAATATACTAATTTTAGGCTACAATTAATTTGATATAATCTTTTTGCAAAATTTTATATAGAGGAAAGTGTACTTGGCGCGATGCTTTACAGTGAAACTGTTTTTGTTCGGATCGATTATAGGACATGATGTATTAGAAGAATTGCAGCCATGGCAGTAGCTGAAAGTTACCATTTGCTACTACTTTTTATAAAAGAAAAAAAAACATGCGTGAATGTCGTGGAACACTCGGTAGAAACGATGTTCCTTTAGTAGCATATTATTATTAATAAACGTATTATATTATTGATTAACAAATACAAATAAATGAATTACTATATTCATGGCAAGATAAGAAAAAGTGCGAGATAGATGGATATTATTCCATCTCGCTTCCTTATAGCCGCCAAGGCCGTCTACACTACGTCAGAAGGGGTCGTGACGGAAAAATTTTACACTTTTTCTCGCCATCCCATCCGCCAAATTCGTACCGTGCGATAACGAACTTCGTTCCAATAATTTTTACCTTTATTTGCAGATGGCAGAATATATGACAGCCTATGATTATTGCAGAGGCATAATAATAGTGTTAGACTTTTCGGAGGCCGATCTAGTCGAATTACTAAAAATAATGGACTTCGTTGAACTGCGCCAAGCTCTTACATTATTAATTGTAAGTATATTATTTTTTGACCGTGTAGTGGCGGTGTAAGAATATCCACTACCCCATAATATGACCCCGTGTACTTGTACTATTATCTATTCTGTGTGCGTGGGTGTGATACGAGGCGACAGACAAAACAAATCAGGTTATGGGTAGCAGCGTCTTCCTAATAAAAAAATTCATGGGTTTTAATTTTTGGCGCAAAACCCTAATTCTCTTTCCAAAACAAAAGTAGCCTAAGTTACTCCTTATAACATCAGCTATCTGCCAATGAAAGTCCCATCAATATCAGTCCAGGCATTTCGGGGATTAGCCGAAACAAACAGGCAGACAAACAGAACGACGGACAGAAAGACGGTAAGAAAGACGGACAGACAGACACAAATTTAAAAATTTCTGTTATGTTATAAGTATCGTATATGCTTTCATGTGCATTTTGTAATAAGCTATTATTTTGACATTACAAACACAATATATAAAGATAAGACACCTGTCCCTTTGCGAATATTATTTTTGTCTATGGTACCTTTGACACTGCTACCCCTCGCTAGTCTGAACTTTTATGTCTGGCGTAAACGAGATGATATACCGCCGTATATTTTGGAATTTATAACATTTTCTGGTGTACGCCATTCTTCTTACAACACCCACGACACGAAAATGGCACAAAATCCTACGCAAGGCAACAAGTAGATACTCTCTTTTAGGAGTTGCTTATTTAAAATCAGCCAAAATTGTTTAGGTATTTTATGAAATAGATTTTTTTAGATTCCTTACACATAGTGTGGATGTGGAGCTATTTTGTGTGTAATTAGATATAAACATTTTGATAAGTTTTGGGGTATTAAAATAAACTTTAATTGTTTTATATACTAATTTATGTATTGTAAGGGTCTTGTCGCGAAGGAAGTTCCTTGTCCGCTGCGCTACAGGTCTGCATTGTAATTTGTAACTCCCATATTTTACAAGAATTTTGGATCACAGATGTGAAGGATCATGCACCTTCCATGTTGGACTTTCTGCTGACCTATCTGCTGATATCAGGTGTTCGTCGATGAGTCGTGATTTTAGCTCCTCGAACCATTGTCTAGTCCGGAGTGGTGTGCCACTCATGCTCCCATCACGGTTGCGTTCTGCAGGTTGCCGCCGTATTTGGCACTATAGGTCGGCCGATTGGGATAGAATGCGTTTTCTTTAAGCCTAGCCTTGGGGGTGAGTTTGCTTCTTGCCGGACGATCCCAATGTTATTGCTGACTCTGTCGCTGATGTGGTGCTTAAGGGAATGGAACTATTTATTCCATCATCTGTAGTACCTATCGGAGGCAGAACTCAGCCATGGTTTGGTCGCTCATGCAAAATTGCTTCATCCCATAAGCAGAAGTGCTTCCAGGCCCGGAAGCACTCCTGACGCTGACGCATTGACGTCTCAGGATGCAAATACCAGCGATCTCAAAAAGAAGTATCTTCCGCCTCCAGGTCCTTCAAAAATTTCATTGCCAAAGCAAAGTCATCAACGAAAGACGTCGGCAGAATTGGTGAGAAAGTAGTTCGACTTCCCTCGGGGACTCGTGCATTCTGGTCTCCAGGCTAAGGTAGTCACAGGGTACTTCTGTCAGCCATCTCTCTCACCTCTGCACAAGGAGGACGATTCACTGGCCCTGTGCCTTCCTTTGCGGCATGCCGCAAGGGAATGCACTCTCTTTGCGTTCAACTCGACTCTTGATGACAGGGGGAACACACCACCGGCCATCCCGCGATGTGAGTGTTCCATGCAGGATGTGCTGTTTACCCAGCGCTCGGTATGCAAAGCACTCCTCTCCCTTGACATCAACATGTCGAGTGGACCTGATGGCGTCCCTCCTATTGTGCTGAAGACGTGTGCTCCGGAATTGGCACTGGTTTTAACGCGTCTTTTCCCGTATTCCTACTGCCTATGCGTATTCCCAAACTCATGAAAGACAACTTGGTGCACCCGATCCCTAAAAAGGCAACCGCTCAGATCCATCTAACTACAGGCATATTGCCATCACCTCCTTGTTCTCCAAAATAATGGAAACCATCATAAACTACCAGCTCATGAAGTACCTTGAGAATCACCAGCTAATTAGTGACCGCCAATACGGTTTCCGTCAGTGTCGGCTAGCTGGTGATCTGCTGGCTTACCTAACTCATAGATATTCTGAAGCAGTTGAGTCCAAGGCAACGCCTTCCGTTGGAGTTTAGTTTGGACGTTGCGAAGGCCTTCGATTGGATTTGGCACAAAGCGCTTCTTTCGAAACTTCCTTCCTATGTGGGCTTCCTGAAAAATTGTGCAAAGGGATCACCAGTTTTCTTGCAGATCGGAGCATCAAGGTCGTAGGAGATGGTGTATAGTCCGATTACAAACCTATTAATGCTGGTATTCCACAGGGCTGCTTGCTATCACCAACGCTGTTTCTTCTGCATGTCAATGTTATGTTGCAAATCGGTAATATTCATTGATTTGCAAACGGCAGCACTGGTAATGCTTTATACCCTGGCCGTGCCAAAATTTCTAGAGAAGACGTCGCCGAGTATCGAAACAAACTTCTATCTGAAATCGAGTCTTTGTTGAACAAAGTCTCTGATTGGGTTCTTCTAAATCTAGTCCAGTTCAATCCCCAAAAGACACAAGTTTACGCGTTTACCGTTAAAAGAATCCTTTTGTCGTATCTCCTCAGTTTCAAGGCACTCTCCTTGTTGCTTCAGCCAGTATTGGAATCCTCGGTGTCGATATACCGAGTGATGTGCAAGTTCGTGGTCACTTGGAAGAGAAGGCCAAATTGGCCTCTAAAAGCTTAGCATGCTCAGCAGAGCGGGCTAGCATTTCATGCCGGCACACTGCTTGTACCTTTACAAGGCGCAGATTCGGCCCCACATGGAATATTGTTCCCATCTCTGGACAGGAGTTCCCCTGTGCCTTGTGCTTCTTCCACTTGACCGCATCCAGCGCAGAGCAGCTCCAATCGTCAACGACCGAGTTCTTTCTGATCGGCTTGAATCACTGGAACTGCGAAGAGATGTTGCATCTCTTTTCGTATTTTATCGCATCTACCACGAGGAGTGCTCTGAGGAATTGTCCGGACTAATTCCATTCGCTCAATTTCACCATCGCACATCGCGATAAAACTCGCGATACTATCCATATCATCTGGATGATTTGCGTTCCACCACTGTGCGATTTCGAAGAAGTTTTCTTCCTCACAAATTCCTTGAGGAATCGACTACCACCAGAGATTTCAGAACGATACTATTTAGGGACTTTCAAAAAAAGAGCCTACTCTTTTTTAAAGGCCGGCAATACATCTGCAATTCCTCTGTTGTTGCAGTTGTTTATGAGCGACGGTTGTCACTCACCATCAGGTGATCTGCATGCTCGTTTGCTCCCTCTGCTATAAAAAAAATTAAGATTAAAAGTACATCTACTAAATCGGAATATTAAAGAAAATTATACAGCAAGAAAATCTACGGTTTCTTGCTATGCTATTCACCATGTTGTGGGTACAACATTGGATTCTATGAAATTAATAAAAACCCTTAAATAACTTAAGCTTGATTCGACAAGGCTATAGAGTTCGGACGGACAAATTTATAATTTATTAGGACATGCTTTTTCAGGATGGTTACGCAATGAGAATAAAAGCTGTTCATATAATTACTCCCTCAAAAACTGTGGAAGTCTTAGTTGGACTTTTCAAACAAATTGTCAGTGCAAAATTAGGTCAACGCATTCAAATACACAAGGATTTGGAATCACTACACAAGGTTATCCAGAAAGATGTATTACCAGAAGAGCTAGGTGGGAATGAGAGATCTATAGTTAAATTGCACGGTAAGTTTTACATTGTTACCCTATTCTATAATTCATTAATTACAGCCCTTCACAAGTCCATTGTTGGACATAGACCTCCCCCAAGGAATACCACAAACCACAGTCCTGAGCACCTGTATCAATAGACTTCCTGCATGTCTTGCCAGGTCGTCACTCCATCTAGTGGGGAGTCGCCCTACACTTCGCCTACCGGTACGAGGCTGCCACTTGAGAAGCGTTATTCCCCATCAGTTGTCAGTTCTTCGAGCTATATAGCCCCTTTATCTGCTACCACTTAAATTATATCTTTTGGCCGGCCCATTATCACTTAAGCTTATTAATCTGTTTAGCTATGTCAGTTACTCTGGTTCTACTGCGGATATCCTCATTTCTAAGTTTATCACTATGAGAAACCCCGAGCATAGCCCTTCCCATAGCTCGCTGAGCGACCTTGAGCTTCCTCATACGGCCAGCATTAAAGGACCACGTCTCAGATCCATAAATCATCACTGGCAACACGCACTCGTTGTACACTCTCTTTTTCAAGTTTCTATAATTATGGCATCTTATTTATAATGCTAACCAAAAACAGCGATAGTATATCCGTATATTTACGGCACATAGCTTAGGATTATGCATCGTCGCAATATATTGATCCAAAAAAATTGTCGCATGTTACCTAACAATGGAAAATTATTCCATTAATGAAGACATTTAAACGAGTGCAATTTTATTAAGCGAATACTGATGACAATAAAAAACTTCTGATATACAACACGTAACATAATTAACGCACTTTATGAAAGTAGTTTGTTCAGAATCGTTTACTGAATCAATTTCTATAATTTACTAGCTGACCAGGCAGGCGTTGTTCTGCCCTTTCCAACGACCCTTCCAATATAAATCCTTAGATTCGCAATAAAAAATTTTGAGGGTCATTTATCGGGATAAAAACTATGCTATCTTTCAAGTTGGACCAAAATGCACACAATGTGCAAAATTTCATTGAAATCAGTTCAGTAGTTTAGGAGTCCATCGGGGACAAACAACGTGACACGTAATTTTTATATGCAAAGATTATATAGGTAATTTTTTTATCCAAAAATAATTGAAATTACGTAATTTACAATCACATCAAACCTAAAATGGACCGTAACTCAAGGCAATAAGACTTTTAAAAATGTAGTTTTATTTGTTTTAGTTTTATTTTTTTTATTAATACAAATTCCGTCATTCAATACAAAATAAAGAAAATTGAACCTTATTTCAAGTACATTAAAGTCTTTACAAATACAGAGTTTGGAGTGCCTTATAAAGGTCGCGGGGGCCAGGCTATTGACCTCTCAGATCAGCTGATTTGACGCTTCTTGACTTTTTTATGTGGACGTATTAGATCATTAGTTTATTTTAGTGACACAACAAGTGCAGAGGACCTAAAAATAGTAATTCTATGAGTGAACGATTTTAGAATAGTGAAAAATGACACTGAGTTGCTTTCTAAATTATTTTCTTTCTCTTTCTTTCTTTTTTAAAACAAACCTCCACACTAGGATTTTCTCTTGTATAGTGGGGGCAGTGTACAAACATAAATTGCACAAGGACAAACATTCAGACCCGAAACAAATATAGACCAATACCTAGCGTTCGTGGTTTTGTACGATGACTACAACATTCTTCCGCAATTAGTATAACTAATTTGATAAATAATCAATGCATAAACATGTTTAACTAAGAATTCAGTGTATGTATTATGATTATAACATAATATATCTACTAATTGGGGTGTTCAGTAATAAACCGCAACTCACAAAATTTATACCGAGGCACAATGATCTGCTACGATCGGAGCGCCGGTCACACCTAGTGGCAACATTGCGACGTAATATGCGTTGTAATAATCTGTGGAGTTAAAAAAAGAGAAGAGGAGGGTAGGAGGCGAGACAAGCCATACACATTCTCTTTGTGTTCGTGATGTGAACATCTCTCCAAAAACTTAAAAAAAGGGACTACTCCAGAGTGTACCGTGTACAATCTAATTGCTAGTGTATTCTACCGTGTAGAAGAAGCTACCAGGAGCTGTCAACGTTTGCTGATCTTGGGAGGCTGGCTAGTAAGACCGTGAGTAGTTTATTGCTGTTTTTGGTGTGATTTTGTGACTGCGGTAACTGAACGTTTCAGGGGATTTAGATTCTCAATACAGTCCACTATATCTAGTAAAATAATCCCAATCCGCCACATTTCTGGCCTTCGAGCCGCATATATTCGAATTAGTGATCGCGTCCCGTGGACGTCATATATTTGAGTAAAACTACGCATTTAATTAATTTAATATCCCTTATTTAATTTGCCTCTTTTTTACCTGGATGTCCATTGCTCGCGGTGCGTTTATAAAGTATTAATTTTGTAATTTGTTCATAATGTCGGATAAATTACAAATAAAAAGGCAAACACTTATTTTTAAAAAGGAATACCTATTTGCTAAATTACAAAAGGTTTTCGATATCGCGAGATCCCAAATAAATGATCCCACACAAATTCAGAATTTCTTAGCCGATTATTCCGAATTAGAAAGTGTCCGCTCAAAGTTTGAAGAAACAGTGTTAAATATTATTGAAATAGATATATCATTAAAACCGGAGACAAGATTGTCAACGCGAGAATTAGATACATTTGATGAACTTTATAAGGCATGTAGGTTGCAATATTTAAGATTAAAACCGGACGAGCAGGCATCCCTCAGTAGGAAAGATAGGAGTGATGTAAGGCCGTCATTACCTAAATTACGTTTATTTGAATTCGATGGTGATATTGAGAAGTGGACCACATTCTACGATACATTTGTATCACTTGTCCACAATCGAGATTTCGACAAAATAGATAAGTTTCACTATTTGCTTTCATGTGTTAAAGGTTCGGCATTAAACATTGTTAAAAAATTGCCCATAACAGCCGCTAATTATACTGTCGTATGGCAAAGTTTATGTAATAAATATCAAGATGATCGAATACTCGTGGGTAGGTACATCGATAAAATGATAAACTTTACGCCGTTAAATAAAGACACTACCGCAAATCTTACTTTATTTATCGAAACATTCGATCACTCTTTTAAAGCCATCGAGGCATTAAAAATTAAAAATTTACATGACTATTTATTTTGTCATTTAGCCTTACGTGGGTTGGATGCGCATACTAGGAGGCTTTTTGAAGAAAATCGGGATCAAAATTCACTTCCATCTTTTTCGGAATTAATTAGTTTTGTAAATAAACAAGTTAAAGTACTCGAACATTCATCGAATAGTACGATGTCGTTACAATCAAGAAATAAGTCTATATGTAACAATTACAAAGGCAACAATAATAACCACTACAAAAGTTATTCAAAGACAGTTTTAAATACTAATGTGTCAAATTATAATAAAAATAAAAAAATAATTTGCGCGCATTGCAATCAAAATCACATGATTTATAGGTGCGATCAATTTCGTAAATTGACCGTAGATAAAAGGATTGACCGTGTCAATACCTTAAAATTGTGTCATAATTGCCTAAAAGGAAATCATGATACCTCAACTTGTAAAAGTGAGATGTCTTGTGGTGTATGTGCGTCACTACATCATTATCTATTGCATAGGGAGCCAGTGAGCGACACGCTCGTGCCAACATCCACCCGTCCATTGTGCTCTGACTCGCAAGTGCAACAAGCACTCGTCTCGTCTCAGGCTATGAGTGACTCAGAGCGTTATACGATAGATACGCTTCATTCCAATAACGTTCACTCGGGTTACGGTGTTGTATTGGGAACGGCGCGTGTGTTAGTAATTGATAGTAGCGGCCAGCTTCAATACTGCCGTGCAGTTATTGACTCTGGAGCTCAGAGCTCATTTATTACAACTGAGTGTGCTCAACGTTTGGGCTTACCTCGAAAGAAGTGTTCGTTTAATATTTATGGTCTCGGTGGAGAGGCTGTAAAAAATCACGGCATGATTACATGCACATTAAGGTCCCTACACACTGACCTACCTAGTTTTACACTGAACATGGTCGTAGTGACTAAGGTATCTGCTGATATGCCTAACGTTCGATTCCACTCGGACGTTATTAATAAATATAAGAATTTTAATTTAGCTGATCCATTATTTTATAAGCGTTCGCGTATCGATATACTATTGGGCAATGATATAGTTTCGGAACTAATTAAGGATAAACCTTATATTATTTCATCGGATATACCAAGCGTGATCGATACCGCTTTCGGGTTTGTTGTAAGTGGTAAACTTTATAGCAATGATAAGGACAATTTAAAAAATTATAATTTATCAGTCTCATTTGATGAACAAGAGTCTTTAGATCAAACGTTGCGTAAGTTTTGGGAAATCGAAGAATTGCCAAGCAAACCCTCGATTAATACTTTGGAACAATTAGCGGAAGACATTTTCGTGGCTCGTTATAGTCGTACTGAGGATGGTACCTATTCAGTGCCGTTACCATTCATACCAGACCCGCCTCCGTTGGGCGCGTCACGAGCGGCAGCCGAGCGGCGACTCTTGTTCACCGAGCGCAAGTTGAATCGTTCACCTGTATTACGACAAGCCTATTCAGAGTTCATGTGCGAATATGAAAATCTAGGGCACATGGAGCTTTATTCGGGGGACACCCCAAGCAAATATGTGATACCTCATCACAGTATACTTAAGCCCAGTAGTTCCACTACTCCTTTGCGTGTGGTATTCGATGCCTCGGCTAAAACGTCCACGAACGTTTCGCTTAATGATATTCTATTGACCGGGCCTAATCTGTATCGAGATATTGGGGCTATAATATTGAATTTTAGGTTGTTTGAATATTGTTTGATTTGTGACGTATGCAAAATGTATCGGGCAATTAAACTGAATCAGTCAGATAGATGTTATCAACATATTTTGTATCGTCATTCGCCTAACGATGCCATTGACGTTTATGAATTAAAAACTGTCACTTACGGCTTAAGTTGCTCACCGTTCTTAGCTATCCGCACCCTC